GACGGAGGGGCACACATGCACGGAGGGGTACACATGGACGGAGGGGCACACATGCACGGAGGGGTACACATGGAAGGAGGGGTACACATGCACGGAGGGGCACACATGCACGGAGGGGCACACATGGACGGAGGGGTACACATGGACGGAGGGGCACACATGCACGGAGGGGTACACATGGAAGGAGGGGCACACATGCACGGAGGGGCACACATGGAAGGAGGGGCACACATGCACGGAGGGGTACACATGGACGGAGGGGTACACATGCACGGAGGGGTACACATGCACGGAGGGGCACACATGCACGGAGGGGCACACATGGAAGGAGGGGCACACATGCACGGAGGGGTACACATGGACGGAGGGGTACACATGGACGGAGGGGCACACATGCACGGAGGGGCACACATGCAAGGAGGGGCACACATGCACGGAGGGGTACACATGCACGGAGGGGTACACATGCACGGAGGGGTACACATGCACGGAGGGGCACACATGGACGGAGGGGCACACATGCACGGAGGGGTACACATGGAAGGAGGGGCACACATGCATGGAGGGGTACACATGGAAGGAAGGGCACACATGCACGGAGGGGTACACATGGAAGGAGGGGCACACATGCATGGAGGGGCACACATGCATGGAGGGGTACACATGGATGGAGGGGTACACATGCACGGAGGGGCACACATGCACGGAGGGGTACACATGCACGGAGGGGCACACATGGAAGGAGGGGCACACATGCACGGAGGGGTACACATGGAAGGAGGGGCACACATGCACGGAGGGGCACACATGGACGGAGGGGTACACATGCACGGAGGGGCACACATGCACGGAGGGGTACACATGCACGGAGGGGTACACATGCACGGAGGGTACACATGGACGGAGGGGTACACATGCACGGAGGGGCACACATGCACGGAGGGGTACACATGGACGGAGGGGTACACATGCATGGAGGGGTACACATGCATGGAGGGGTACACATGCATGGAGGGGTACACATGCACGGAGGGGCACACATGGACGGAGGGGTACACATGGACGGAGGGATCATTCACACACATTTTACCCAAGCTCCTGCTCACAATCTCCCAGTCATTTTAATAACGTGTTATAAACATATTGGCCCCTCCCTGAATCCTTTCCAATCCTTTTTCTTCCCATCCTGAACTCGTCCCTTGTCTTCCAATGGGATAATGGGTAATTATTTCTCCTGCCTGGTGCAATTTATATAGTAATGAATGGACACAGTCCCTACAGGAACAGCAGGAACGCTGAAACCTCAGTCAGGCCATCGTGCTGTGTCCTCTGTGCCCTCATTTTCCTGACGGTTCTTCATGAGCAGCCTTGCGAGAGCAGGGCCCAGACGTC